AAACAATGTTGGTGGAATCGCTCGAGATATCGCACATCTCGCCGGTACATCGTCCACGTTTCACTGCCGTATAGAAGAACGGACAGCACCATGGATTTGTACACCATCAGCTTCATGCCAATGGTAAGCTGATGGTTGTTCCACACTCGGTACTCTAGTTTCCCGAATGCCTGCACTGCCTTCCACACGCGGGCACGCAGCTCACTGTGTAGCTGCTGGCAGTCGACATCACACTGCCAGGGTAGTGGAAGCGGGAGGTGGTTTCCAAGACTTGAGCACCAATGCTGACTCGCGGCAATATTGAAGATTGCACCTCCGGTGAAGACTGAAAGAGACAGATAGTTTTGCTTGTATTGATGGTGAGCCCGAATTTGGCCACTGTCGAATCCAGAGCACTAGTCATGTGCTGCAACTCATCTGCGCTGTGTGCAAACAACGCACAGTAGTCAGTAAACAGCAACATGCGGATAGTTGTCTCAAAGATTAGGGGTCTCCACCGAAACGACGGATGTTCAGCAACTCACCATCAATACGGTGGTCCACACGAACAGCGTAAGCACAAGCGGCATCAAAAGCACGAGACAACATTGCATGAAGATATACATTAAACAGGGCAGGAGCTAAGACACAGCGTTGCTTCACACCAGAGACAACTGCAAAGTCATCCGAGGTTACTCCACCCAGCTGAACTCTCGCCCGCATACCAGTGTGCAGATATTCAATTAAACTTACAAACTTACGCGGGCAACCAAACTTACCCAACACCAGTCACAATGCCTCGCGGTTCACCGTATCAAATGCCTTGGTGAAATCAATAAAAAGCAAGGTGACATCCAACCGTCAGAGACAATGCGTGGCGCTCGTGCTCTACGCCAATCGAGCTGTGAGATTATAACGAGTAGACCTGTTAACTCCTGTGGTTAGGATTTACCGGAAGAGGGCCCCCGACCACTTCCTAACCTCCGAAGATGATGGACTGGCATGGCGCCCACACCTGACAGGAGAACGACTCGGGTCCTCAGCCAAAATCTTCGATTAAATGAACACCCGAAAGGCTGCGGGTCTAGCGCATGGCCAGTTCTCTGACTCATGCGAATTGGTGTCCTGGATCATAGCAGGGAGAAGGGCGTAACCCAACTCCTACCCAGCGGTCGCCACGCGGAGACATCCAGGGCATTAGCCAATGGCACAACAGTATCAGCAGTTGGTAGACCATCTGTCAGGGTCTAATCACCACCAGCCTCAACGCACCATAGGCTCTCCCGCCATACATACATACATATATATATATATATATGTAAACCTGAAAAAGCATTCCAATTTATTTGGTTTGCCCAGTTCTGTTATTCTGCTGCATATTCCGTGTATTTATTTCTTCAAATTATATCCTGGTTGTTTGATATCCCGGTGTCGCTGCGCTTTATGTGAATGTTGTCAAGGTGTCTACCTGTCCGACATCCTCGACCTTGGTTAGTGGCTCCAGAAGACTGCAAATCTTTTCTGGGAGGACCGAATGCACGGTCCACGTGTAGGTGCTAGGTTCAAAGAGTGGTTCCATCCAATGTGGAGCGGACTACCGGCCAGCCACCGCCTTGGTAAGCATTATTCCTCACATGATAGACAAGAATGCTTCTGTTCTGTTTATTGAAGGAGTGTGGGCCAGCTCCGTTAAAGAAACATGGCCCCCTCGGTGTTATTTCTTCAAATTTGCATTGGAAATGGGGTGTATGGATGGAGCTAGCGGTCATCCGGTGCAAGTTACCCATTTCCTTGTGGCTGTCCCCGTGGTCATCGCAGCGACAGGCAAATCCGGAATTGGATGCCGATGACCATGTGTATATGTGTTGCTTGGGTTTGTAATTGTTATCGCGTCGCTTATGTGAAAGAGAGGATTGACGTCCGTGAATTGGCTATAATTATCTGGATAGGCAAAGGGCAACGACTTTGATTGGTGGCGAGTCACAACCGCTACTTCACGGTGTTGTAAAGCAGACATGTATAGCTTTTTATATAGAGAACGCTTGTCAAGTGAAAACCCAACACGTCATGAAACGTTGCCGCCGAACTATTTGCTGGAATTGGGTGCACGCGAACCACGCAGCTAGCGCTAGTGTTGTTCGGCTAGCCAGCTGCAATAACGTATTTTCCCGGAAGTTGTTATCTTCCCCTAGACAGGTACTGGGAATTCGTCCACTTCAAATAGCGGACGCACCGCCAAGGACCCCGAAGTATGCAACGAATACCTTGCTCCTGCAATATGCCCCAAACTTTCAGTGTATTCAGTGGTCACCTAATCGTATGGCCAGGGTTGTCTCACTCCCAAAACTCACGATACTGCATACTGTTGCCTGTAGGCAACATACCAGAAAATTGTCCACCAACTTGCTTTCATAAAGTTGTTCACATTAAGAGTAAATTCCCTTGATAGAACAGATATTTCGATTGTCTGTCTTTCTATTTGACCGCAAAATCGTCTTTTGAACGCCAACACAGAGGAGTTATTTGTAGGGAAATCAGTAAGCTTTCGTTTTAGACTACAAATACTCCATGTAGTAAAAGGTTAGAGAGGTGTTGAGTATGTGTAAGCACAGCTCTCTTGGAGTGGATAACTTTCACCCGATGTCAGTTACGGCGCAGGAGAGAGCTTAGTTAAGCCTTTGGCTGGATTCTTCTAACACGCTTGACGAAATGTACTTGTTCGACATGTGGAAACATGGGATGATTACTCTTATTCACAAGGGAGGTAGTCGTTCCGATCCAGTAAACTACCGTCCTGTTACCCTTCTACAGGTGCTTTCAAAGATCATGGAAGGCATTATTGCTGATACTCTACCCGTCTACTTTAAAGAGTTTACCTACCTTGTGCAGGAGCAGCATGGATTCCGACAAAATCAATCGTGCACCACTAATCTACTGTTCGCACGATCCAGCTGACCAAAGCAGTAGACACTAGCATAGGAGTTGATGTAGTTTTTCTTGACTTCTCAAAAGCCTTCAACCGTTTAGACCGTGGCATTTTGCTCTCCAAACTCCAGACGTTTGGTGCCTTTCCGATAACGAGGAAACCCATGCTATAAGTGCCAGGCTGTACAAATAGTGTTCTATCTACGTTTGAGCAGTAAACGCTTCACCGAAGGTCCTTGTCTTCTCTCCTTCTCTTTCTCACTTTGGGTTGCGGGTAGTCGTGAGTTGTCCATGTTAGTTTCGGTGAATCATTGACGGACTAAGTTACTTGGGGCGGGTCCATCCGAATTCGATCAGCCACTTGTCAACGCGGGGCACAATCGATAAGAACCGAATCTTTCTTCTGCCTAATGGCGTTGTATCCAAACTTTGCCGTTACAACACCCGGCAGGTTAGGTATCGGCGCCTTGCACAATTGGCACTTCTGTGATTCGCTGTAACATGATTGCTCTGATCCAGGGGAACAACCTTTCTTACAGATAGTTTTCTATCAGATTTTATTTGACAATGATTCCAGCACTTAGCTTGCTGCGTGCGTTTTCTGTTCCATAGTCTGTTTGAATCCAATCAGTACCAATGCGCAGGTTAACTTTGTTTTACTTCGACTAAATTTTAACTTTGGTATGGTGTGGTGCGTTGCACTAGGTTACATAAAATACGTCTGTTGAAGAAAGGCCTACTGGCATAGGCGACTGCTGTTGGTTGCTTGTGGAAACAAAGTCCACTTCCGAATTCATTCGGAACGCTAGCCGTTCCGGTTCGTTGTTTCCTCGGTGAGTAACCAGCTGAGCTGAGCAACTTGGAGTACAAACTGGGTACATATGCCTTCTGCTGTTGCCTGCAATGAAGCAACTAATTCTATTTTTCTTATGATGTCACCTCGACTGGTGGCGAAACGTTGTCCATTCAATGTATCCAGTTCAGCGAGTAACTCAGCAAATGAAGAACTCACCTTCTGCTCAAGTCACGATTCCGTCATCTAACTATGTGCAGCAGCTAACTTTTCCTTCATCTATATTATCCACGCTTTAACCATGATCTTGCGGACTGTGAAGGGGCCGCCGTGCTGCACTGCTTGTCCTGAGCACACTGTTGTGCATATTCCGTCCTCCCACTCCCGACTCTCGTGTTTTCTGGTTCGTCTCAGAACTGTAAACGGAATTTTTGGTCACTGATAGTCATTAAAAGATTCTCTTTAGGCTGATGCATTCTGTAACTATCAACATCCGAAGAAACAGCTGCATTCAATGCAAACTATTGTTCTGGTCCAAGATATGTTGAGCACCTACACATTGCTGACTCATGTCCACAGATAGTTTGCCCGGTTAGTTGAAGCCCTATGCGGATTTACTGTTGCTATGGCAATATAAACGATGATGAAACCTGTCAAAATGAGTGTTGGTGCCCAATTGCGCCTTTCTTCTGAATCAGGTAGGGGAGTTACTAAATCATTGATCGAGAGCACTAACGAATGGCACATTGTCCAGGACTGATTGGTGCTGTTGCATTTCACATATCACTTTCAACTGCCGGCTCCTCAGATGGACGATCCAAACACACTTCGACTTATTCTCAACTGATTTTTTCGTCTTACTTCTTTGTTTTCATCCAGCCACTTTGGCACTATGGCGAGCAGAAATATGACAACTGGATTTACAGCACTAACAATCAGAGTATAGTTCGCGATTTGACCGTGGTAATAGAGCGTCGTAGATAATTCAACATGTATCGCCTTATTTCTCTTCACCATAGCTTAGTGTGTTGTCCCCTTGCAATCTTCCCTTAAGGCCTTCGTTGCCTTACAGTGTAGTTGTATATAAGTTCTGTTGCTCAGTTGGGTTACTGAAGTTCAACAGTGATCTTCATGACCATGCCGGCTAAGCATGCTTTCTGGGACACTGAGATCCTTTGTAACCAGCTTACTGAGCGACGATAAGCATAGTTTTATGCCTGTTAACCCACTTGTGTCTAAACCATGGTTTCCACTAACCTACCTTTCATGAAGATAGATTTAAAGCACCTTTCTTCTGTCACAGACAGGAAAAGGATGATCCGAAATTGCTCAACCGCACTGAGCATGAAGATGGAGAAATATCTGGTGTGTATCACGGAATCTCGGTCCGATTATGGATTTTTGTGCTTCTGCAACAAAGATAAATGCAATGAGGCCAACGATACTAGAAACCAACTCGCACAAACATTGTTGTCCACGGTTTTCTTGATAGTTCACAAGTTATTACTCCTTTAAACGTTTATCTCCCCTTTTCTTTTGCCATTGCTGTAGTTTTCCTTTCCTTCCCTTATCAACATGACTCGCCATTGTCTTGAACAGCTTTGCTTGATAATATTGGCAATTTGGACTTCCATGACCCTAATATTCCAGCTGTTCTTCCGGTGTCTTCGAGAGAAAATAACAATTTTCCCACTGCTACCTACTCCAGACACAGCAACGGCATTTCAGCTATCTTTGTTAAAGCCATTTAGTTACCATGGTGACCATGTCTTTCTGAATTGTACAAAATTGAGAACGCGTTTCCATTTATATCCGGTACAATCAGGATTGAACTGATCAGATTTTCCCATTTTCCAATAAACATGCCACTTTCCATTGCTACTCAACTACTCTGGTTGACATTGGTGATCCTAAACTGCACCATTTTTTGATACTTCAACCTACATCTCAGTCATTTACACATTGGTGTGAGGTTCATCTGCGGTGTTGAGTAAACTTAAACTAGAATCTACAAAGCAAAATAATGATCCGCAACCTGAAACGTCTAAAAATGGATTATCTAAATCGTTCCTCGCAGTGTTGACAACGATTGACACTGCGATCCTGAAGACCGAGAGAGCTTTGCTTTACCCCAGTCTACACTGCTATAACAACTGAGATGGCTAGTAACAATGCACACACTGGTAATTCAACTGAGCGACCAATCTGATTTCACTACTTCAGACACGGATGTAACAAACTGAAGATTTCATTGAGTTCATAAAAGTTTGAAACAACCGATGATCTCCAAATCTCTCTGGTTTCATGATTACTAGGTTGGTTCCAAGTATCTCCCAAGCTTTTGGAAGATTCAGTGTTTTTATTGCCGGATTACACCAAACCAATGTGTTTATGGACAGTTATTGGAGGCCAGGTTATAGAATTAGGGGTACAAAAGTTAAATACTTGATGGGTCGTTGGATCAGGTTAAGAAGGAAGGCCAACAAGTTAAGGTTGCACGCATGTTTATTGGGTCCAAGAGGCGTACGCTGAATCAGCCAGCCTTGGCCCCCCCCCCCCACCTCACAAACTACTGGCAGAACTGCTACCAGTTGCTGACTCCACCTCGTTTGTACGCATTAAATCCTTTCTGGTGACAATATCCCGCATTGTCTTTCTGGCATTGTTAAGCGAATAGAATGACCGTTACGATCTTATCGCCACTTGATTTGTTTGCATCTCTCGTCGTAACATGAGTGCGCGTTTGGCTTCAGCGGCCCCATATCAGTAGGATTTATTTATACAAGGCGCACATTGGCCGCTGTCATGAACTGTACATCTACATTTCCTAGATGACGTCAGACTCCACGGTGTTAGTACGCCGGGATAGAACTTACGGCTTTAATTTCCGAAGTTGGAACAATGGTTTTATACAGATAAAGAGCTAATGCTTAACAGATCCCGTAGGGTAGTTATGGTTAAACTTAAAAATATAAAGAATATTGCTGGCAAAATTGGGTTCACACCGGTGAACTCACTGAGGTACACGTAGTATAAGCTGTAAATTCAAGTTAAATCCATAAGGAATGACGACAAATGGGATGTTGATAAAAATCGTGTCTCGTACTGGTGAACACATTTATGAGGTGGCAAAGTGGACCGAATTCTGGGAGTTGACTGCCAGTGAAATCTCTTACAGACACTTGTGTTTATCCATGGGTACTGGGTCATGTAAGATAGTGCAGCGAAATAAGTGCACCGTCAACTCGGGCTTTGACCTCTGCCAGCGTGGGAGCAAATATGACAGATTCCGGTAGGGAATTCCACGTTCTGCAAACGCGCACGAAAAAGAAATCCCGACGGAATTCCAAACGACAGTAATGCTCTGCTAGCGTGAGATGGTGTCCTCTCAAATTGCTGTTGTGACTGAGCTCTAGCAAGTAGTGGCACGTGTGGTTGGGATCTCACGAAATCTGGTAACTCCAAATGAGGTCCCCGCACAATCGCGATACTGTCCACTGAAGACCCCGGGCATTTGAAGTCTTCGCTCATACGGCAAGTTATACAGACCCTTGACATTTTTGACTGCCAGGCGTGGGGTATCTCCAAGGCGGTGAGATCTCATCACCCATGGCTACCAGACCTGTATTGCGTATTCCACCTGTGGTCTTATGTATGAGTCGAGAAGTTGTGAAAAAATCGAAGGGTTGAATCCCCGAATGCACGCTTCAGAAGGCCCACGTGTTGGATCCCCCTCCTTGACGCCGTTTCAGCTTGATTCCAGCATCCTAGGTCAGTCTGAACAAAATCCCTCAAATCCTTCTTGCCAGAAGCCGTTTGAAGCTCCTGGTTGCCGAGTTTGTAGGAGTGCACCAACTTGTTCCGTAAGTGAATAATAAAAAGTAAAGCGTCAGCTGTACTCCGTAATGGCGCTCCGCTGCCGCGCGACCACCCCCGGTCTCGCGCGGGCTGACTATACCGCGAGGACGCCCACTCCTACGCGGATTCCAACCGGGGACCTTATGGTTGCAAAGCAGGTATGCGGACCACTCGGTCAGCGGCCGACTGTACCTTAAGTGCAGTACTCTACATTCGTCGACATTGAATCCAAGTAGATTCTGACTTGACCACGCGTATGCCCTATCCAGATCAGCTGTATGGAGGAACCGGTAAAGGAGAATACACAGTCAGTCAGGTTTACCTCACATATAAAATATCCTGATGCGTCTTAGCGTCGGATGATCGTAGATCGCGAGGTATGCCGATTTGTACGTGTACGTAAATTCCGATCGTGAATCGAGCAGGTAGCAATGCGCACAATCACAACAACTCAGTGACAACCACGGGAGAATCACGGAAAACGAGCTCGAAATCAATTGTTATGTATATGTAGTTACTTAAAACAAGTTGTACAACAACTACAGCGAAATTGTTAAGCGTAAAAATAAACAGATTATTTACAATCGCTACAGCTTGAGGTACCATGATATCATCTGATGTGTTGATTGCCCTCCACACCTTGGTGTCATCGACATAAAGCAGGCAATTCGAGCTTATAAGGCATGTATGTCAAAAATAACCGCGGGCCTAGTACATATCCCTGTGGTACTCCGCATCCAACTCGCATGGGATCTGACAGCGATTCCCGCACTCGTTACTTCCAAGCGCTGGTGTAGAAGAAGGCTTCTGTTCTATCCTAGGAGCGGATCACCAATACCACTGGTCTGGAGTTTGAAGAGCAGAATGTTATGGGCTAACCGGTCGAACGCTTTTGAGGAGTCGAGAAAGACTACATCAACTCCTGTGCCAAAGTCTATTGCTTCAGTCCAGCTGGATCGTGCTAGTAGTAGTACACTATCGATTTGATCAGAAGCTATGCTGTTCCGGTGCGGGGTAGTTCAATTCTTCGAAGTACACCGTTAGCGCATCAGAAACGATAGCTTCCATGACGTTCGAAAGAACCGGTAGTATGTATATGGGGCGGTAGTTGGCTGGATTGGAAAGACTGCCTCCCTTGTGAATCGGAGTAATCATCACCTGTTTCCACATGGTGGGCACGTACTTTTCATCAAAACAGTGTTGGAAGAATGGAGGCTCAGCTAAACTCGCTCCTACTGCCGCTAGCGATTTAGTGTGTATATTATCAACTCCGGGAGAGCTGTGCTTGTGCATACTCATCAGCTTTTTGTACAGCTTCTACCGTGAAGGATATGTGAGTGAGATTTGGGAGTGAACAACCATTGTCATAGAGTTATGTGGCCAATAATCGCACTGAAATGTTGCAGCATATTATAGGCGCAGGTTATTCGCCGCTTCCTTCGATGTCCGTGTGGGTCCATCTGCTGTTTGAAGAGGAGGATTTCCCCGTTTCATCTTAAGTAGACTGTTGGCATGTTGATACAGAAGTCTGTTGTTTGAGGCCATACGCACTGTCAACTTCTGCTATTACGCCATTCTCTCCTCGCGAACAAGCTGAGTACAGTGGTTACGTTGGGTCGCATAAGCCATCCAGTTCTCGGTGCTCGGGCAGAGTTTGTAGAGATGCCAAATTGTGTTTCGCACCGCTATACACTTGCTTCTCAGGAACGAGACCACGTTTCTCGGGCGGAAGACCTTAGTCGCTGTTGCTTTAGCAACAGTGATTTAAACTGTCAGATGGAAGTCCATGTCGGGCGTGGAGGAAGGGGTCGGTAAATGACCGCCACTAAGCAAGGGTCATCGCCTTTTAAACGTAGACGTACCGCGCTGACCGGATCCTCTATGGACTCACATTGGAGGTCCTTGTGGAAGTACAGAGTCACCCTTCCACCTTCTCTGGGTCGGCCGTGCCGAACAATGCACTTGCCTGGCAGTGCGATCTCCATGTCACTTGTGTCAGGGTGTAACCACGTCTTCGTTATAGCGACGAGGTCGCAAGCTTTTGATCCTTAAGGCAGCTGCGTTTCGGAAAGTTTACTCAGTGAGCCTCGGGCATTGGTGTACATACTGGGAGGTTTCTCGGATGTCAAAAGCTGTTGACTAGGAGCACATGAAGGATGTGGGTTTGTGCCGACCGATGCGATGCTGGCACCTAATCATTTTGGGGTGAATTGCCAAATCTCGATAGGAATGCAGTCTATTTTTCGTCTCACTTGCACCTGCGGTATGTAGTTCATCAGCGTCCTCGATAGCTATTGGTTTTAGTGCACATGTTTCTGAATCGCTGTTGTGCTTATTTTGAGTCTCGCGTGGTGCCGTTTCCGTGAGTAGCGATTAGCTACGGCTCTCCAACTGTTGTCTTCAGTCATAGTTCCGAAGGGAGTATGCTGCGTAGTAACTGCTACGGATTAAGTTCACGGACATCTGTTGTGACTGCACCGTTAGTTTCATTATCCTCCTACCACTGCCTCTGTAGTTTGGCGACACGGATAACCGTGTAATCGGCTGAAGTTTGACGTCGCCCGCATAGTGGGCTTCACGAATGTAACGCCATTCTTCCAGGTCATGAGTCTGGGCTTCTTCGTTGCTAGTTGTCGATAGCTCGGGCACGCCATGAACGAAAATAATTCTTTTGCTACTGTCCATGTGATGGTCTTTTGGTTTATTTTTGTCCCGCTGGCCTCCGCTCCATGGACCATCCTGAAATATACGTATCCCACTGTTTACAGTCCGCAGGCGATATGCCGACAAAAGCACCGTTTCGACATCGTCTGTTGATCCCAATGTTACTCACATTAGCCGGGACTCCCTACAATGATTCGAGGTTGGGTGTCTAGCGATGCGCATTATTTCAGTCGGACTGGCCTAAGCTCGGATTCTACCACAAAGGAAATTCCATTGCTTTAAATTATCCAGCTGCTTACTCCTTAAGGATTTCACCTTGGACTAAGGAACCTAGTACATATAAGTGTCAAGGC